TAGGAACAAGAAGCTACTAGGGGCTCCTGGCCTTACTACTAGGAGCATGGACGCTACTAGGAGCAAATCGCTACGAGGAACCCTGGCCTTACTACTAGGAGCAAAGGGCATCGCTACTAGGAGCAAAGGGCATCGCTACAAGGAACAAGAAGCTACTAGGGGCTCCTGGCCTACTGCTAGGAGCAAGGCGCTACTAGGAGCCAAGGGCATCGCTACTAGGAACAAGAAGCTAGTAGGGGCTCCTCGCCATACTACTAAGAGATCTAAGAGCCAGGACGCTACTAGGAGCAAAGGGCATCGCTACTAGGAACAAGAAGCTACTGGGGGCTCCTGGCCTTACTACTAGGAGCAAGGACGCTACTAGGAGCAAAGGGCATCGCTACTAGGAACAAGAAGCTACTAGGGCTTCTGGCCATACTACTAGGAGCAAGGATGCTACTAGGAGCAAAGGGCACCGCTACTAGGAACAAGAAGCTACTAGGGGCTCCTGGCCATTCTACTAGGAGCAAGGACGCTACTAGGAGCAAAGGGCACCGCTACTAGGAACAAGAAGCTACTAGGGGCTCCTGGCCTTACTAGGGGCAAGGACGCTACTAGGAGCAAAGCGCATCGCTACCAGGAACAAGAAGCTAGGAGCAAGGACGCTACAAGGAGCAAAGGGCATCGCTAACGCTACTAGGAGCAAAGGGCATCGCTACTAGGAACAAGAAGCTACTAGGGCCTAGGGGCGCCTGGCCTTACTCCCAATAGACTGAGAACGTCTATTTTCAAAAATAGACGTAAAAAATAAACTATTAACTTATTTTCGTTATTTTTTTTACCGAAAACAAATTAACGAATTTTTGGAAATTTCGTTAAAAAAGTTATCTTAATTTCGTCTATTTTTATCGAAACAATTAACGAAATTTCGTTAAAAATAGACGCATTTTTTAACGTATACTCTTATTTATGCGGCGATTGCAAACTAGAAGTTTCATAGAAGTTTCTATCAAACTTCTAGTTTGCAAGTAGAACTTTGATAGAACTTTTGTAGAAGTTTTGTACGTCAATTCTAGTTGAAAACTAGAAGTTTGGTAGAAGTTTTGCACTTGTATTTTCTGAGGTCAGCATGTGTATTCGCAGCCACTTCTCTGTGTATTTGCAGCCATTTCTCAAATATTGTACTGTGGTGGTTTGTTGTTATTGTGTTTGTGAAGTTGGAACCATGTACACTTATTATGGGGGAATGTTCATGTTGAGCGCTTTTGTTGAGAGGAGTGACTTGACAGAGACAGAGAGGACAGTTGAATTTGGCATACTTGTGTTTGGAGAGATGTTGAGAGATGTGGAGAGGACAGTTGAATTTGGCAGAATTAGGTTTGGAGAGAGGTTGAGGGAGTGAACATCTTCTTGACAGAGAGCGTTTTGCTGTGGAGAGTTGTGGAGAGTTGTTGATTGTTTGAATTTGAATCACTGATCATGTCATGTCAGATGATTGTCGTGTTCATCTTTGTCAGATGCATTTCCTCTGAAGACGGATCAAGGCCCCAAGAGTTTGGATCTGAAAACATCACCATTCATTCTTCACATTCCTGGTTGGTGTATAATAGCCAGTGGTGGTGGTGAGTCCGTTGGTGCTTCAACCACTGTTGTTTTTTGAGCAAATGGCTACTTGAGTGTATCTGTTCATCAGAACTTGCTGCTGCCGTGCCTTGCTTCAACATGTCAGCTGCTGCTTCGTCATCATTGGTTGCAAAGACTTTTCCATCGTCATCGCGCTGTCGCTTGAGAGCTGACCCTGCAATCGCTACCAGTGATTTGATGGAAGCGTTCAAAGAGCTGTTTGTGAAGGAGGACTCAAGGATACTCAAGGGATATTCGCAAGATCTTGAGTCCTCCGCCAGACATGGACTGGAAGTCCACACCACAGTACAAATGGCTAGCGCGTCTCAGCCCTTTTTTCATGAAGCTTCTGCACTGTTCTGACCAGTAGGAAGGTGAAGGATGCTATTATCCGGCTTCACGAAGAAGGGCCTGTCAACATGACAAGGAAGGATGATTCAGAGCTGTGGGATTGGGTAGATACGAAGATCAGAATTGGCATGTCCCAACTTCGTGACCTCAAGAACAATGTGCATGGATGCCTCGATCGTGCTCACAAAAAGGCTACTTCAGAGGAGAGGAACAAGTTGTGTGAGTTGATGAAAAGGGTCAACTTGTTCAAGGAGACAGGTGGTTCTTCAGAAGACCTTGGTCATCATACCGAGTCGACTGCTCTTGTCGTCCATGATCCTACTACTACGGCCACTCCTTCATCATCGTCACCTGTTTCGAAATCCAAGAAGAAAGGGAATGAGGAACTTTTTTCTTCATCGCCTAGAACAGTGTTTGAGAGCATCTTGAAAAAGAAGAATGTTCGTTCGTTGGATTCAACCACATCTTCTGATCCATGGACCCCAACCAAGATGAAGAAGAAGAAGAAGGAAAAGAAGACAAGAAGAAGGCTCAGCTATGATGATGAGGAGGAAGATAGTGGCAAGGATGAGGGTGGTGATGCTGTCATCAAGATCCTCCCCGCTGGCCACAAGATCATCAAGGAGAGAAACAACAAGGGGAAAGCGTTTGATTCTTCTCAGCCATCCCTTTTTGACAACTTGTTGAGCATGATGGACGGTGATTCTTCGCGATAAAAAGAAAAAAAAGAGGAGGCAGAAGAAGAGGAGGTCAAGAAGTCAAAGAAGCAGAAAAGGACACAAGAAGACGACGACTTCGACTTCCAAGATGATGGGTTTTATGACGACCTTTCTCCTGTTCCTATGCTTGCACATTCTGTGGAATAAAATTATTGCAATCTTGATACGTTCAGAGTTGTGAGATTGAGAGTTGTTGAGAGTTGTTGAGGGTTGTTGAGAGGCGAGTTGGTTCTGTTGTGTTGGTTTCTTTGTCTTGTTTCTTGCTTTTTATTGATGACCGCAACAACTAAGGATGAAAGAAGGATCTTGAAGATGTCCAAAGAGGCTGACCCTGTGAATGCCAACGCCAACCTCACTTTGCGCAAGAAGTTGAACATGGCAAAGAAAAAACAACAAGCAAAGAAAAACAATGGTAAAAAAGGAAAGGCCGCAGAAGAGGAAGAGCAGAAGAAGGTGAACCAAAGTGGAGCAGCAGGGTCGAAAGATGGCAGCAAGAAGAAGAAGAAGAAAAACAAAGAGAAGAATGCGCAGAAGAAGAATGATGGCGGCGATGCTTCTACGAATCCAAGAGGAAGTGATGATGCGAACAACCAAGCAAACAGGTTCGAGTTGTCGACAGCCAAAAAGAACAGTAGTAGTGCAAAGGTTCTGAAGAGGCCATCATCTGCGCCACCATCCACTTCGGTCGAGAAGAACGAGGGTGATGTGAAGAAGAAGAAGGAGGATGAGGATGATGATGGTGAAGACAGTGATGACGGCCAAGGATGGACTTCAGAGATTCGTTCGAAGAAGCGAAACACAATTACCAGCCGTGCGTACCACCAGGTTTTTGACAAGTTCAGACCGAGGAAGAGCGCAGGGGTTTTCCCTGGGAGTGCAGCATGGGCCAGGATGATAAAGGATGCCAAGGCCAGGGCGCGGTGTGCGCACAAAGAAGCTGGCCAAAAGTTCGATCAAAAGCATCCACGAACATCGGTTGGTGTTGCTGAAAAGAAGCGGAAGGCCAAGCAAAAGAAGAAGAGTAAGACGACTGGTGAGGAAGGCGAGGAAGAAGAAGAACAAGAAGAACATGCACATAGTCCTATAGATGTAGATTAGGCCGATCTTGTCATGAAGGCGCCCTTGGAAAAATCTATGCGCACAACACAGCCTCAAGGCTTGTTGTATTTGACTCTACTGTAACAGTCAAGAGTAGTAACCTCTTGATTCTTCAATCTAGGAACACATGTGTTTGACTCTGCTTCAAGGCTTGTGTCATTTGATTACGCTAAGATTTGCAGAGTGTTGAGAAATTACTTTGGAATATGTTTTGAGGGATGTTGAGAGATACTGTTGAGAGCGTAAGGTTTTTGCGATTGTATTTCGGGCTGCTGAGAGAGTTTGACTGTCAGTGCGTTGAGAGATGTTGAGGATGATGGTGAGAGAGTTTTACTGTGGAGAGAGTTTTGAGAGCGGTTGAGAGAGTTGGAAGTTAGAGTTGTGAGACTCTTTTATGTTTGTCACGGTTCATATTGCGCTGATTATCGTTTCTTTGGAGCTTGATTGCTTTGCGTGGAGAGATTTCATTGAGTCAGAGTTGAGCGAGTTGAGGGTTCAAGCACCAGTTGAGAGATTGATTGTTGACAGATTCAACCTTGTACATTCAGAGTTTGTTCTTGAGCATGCAGTATTATCTTTCTATTATGATTCCATTTGCTTCACTGCAATTCAGCACCATTCGGGTAGCAGCTGACACCATCATGGAAAGAATACTGCTCCTCCAACAACATCTCAACAACCTCTCGACTACATCTCAACAACATCTCAACGAACCCTCAACAAACTTTCGACAGTGTGTGGTATTTCTACATCTTCTTCGATCTGCCGAAGTTTTGTTTGCCCGCAATGGTGAATCACCAGGTGATGATTCGAGATTTGGATTGGAGCACCAAAGCTTCGAACCTGGTGGGGCGCGTGTCAAATCTCAATGCTGATGCGGCCGACTTGATCCAGGAGGTCAGGGTTACAAGGCAAGGACGCTTCTTTCCTGGAAAAATGTGCACAGCGTTTGTGCATCTTCGAGACGGTGCTTCGGAAGAAGTGGCACAGCAAATTGCAGCGATCTTGGGGGGTAGGGTTGTTGAGCCCAAGGCTAAGCAACAACCTCCTCCTAAGCAGCAGCCTGTGCCCGATGAGCAACTCCCAGGACTTGGCTTCAAGAGATGCCCTGCCCCTCCGCCGAGACCCTCCTCTTCGGCTTCTCGTGGTGCCAGCAGTGCGCCAGTGACACCACCGAGCCACCACCAAGGCTTTTGCCAAGGCCACCAACAAGGCAGTTGCCAAGGCCACCACCAGGTCCTCCTCCTGGATGGATTCCAGCCCCTAAGTATCCATTCCCACCAACACCGCCAATTCCTATGACAGCACCACCCCCGGTGCCCAAGTTTAGTCTTCCTGCTGCTTGGCGTCCAAAGGTTCGACCCAGCACTACAAGACTGCTTAAAGGACAGCAGCAGCAGCCAAAGGTGGTAGCTGCTGCTCCAGTTCGTCCTCATCACGCAGAGGTGAAGGTCGAGCAGCCAGATAATATGGGTGGTCCTGTGGTGACCGCCAAGCCCGAGGTCGAGTATGAAGACGTCACGGTCGACGATGAGGAGGCACCAGAAGGATCTGAGAAGGAAGAAGATCCCTGCTTGGCTTCAGCTCCTGGTGATCCCAGTTATCATCAAGATCCTCAACCTCAAGATCTTGAAGGCCATACCCAGCCCAGTGCTCATCATGATGAAGAGCCCGCCGGTGCCTTTGATGATGTTGGCGGTGTGCCCACCAGTCCTGCTGGTGGCTTTGTTGAGGATGGGCCGGACGAGGTTGAGGGCAACAAGGCTGATGAGCTGCTGCCTGAGGAAAAGGTGGAATTGATGGGATTGAAAGAGGAAAAGGAAGAGGAACAGGAGGAAGAGGAAAAGGAGGTGCATGGTGATGATGGCGGCTCGGCAACCCCATGGAAGAGACGGACCGAGAAACGAGCCCGTCACAGAAGTCGTGCAGCGGCAGCAGGAGCGCGCGCTAAAAGCGCCGCTGGCTCTTCCTCGCAGCCGACTTCAGGGGAAGTCAGTGGTGGTGCTAAGCCTTCAGATGTTGCAGAGTCTGCTCAGCAACAGCTTGATCAGGACAATGCACAGGGGCCCACCTGACATGAGCTGCTACATGACATGTCTTTAAGTTCAGAGTTCTTTGAGAGTCTTGTGAGGTTCTTCTGTTGAGAGTCTTTTGAGAGCTTGTTGAGAGGTTGAGAGGCTTGTGTGCTTGGAAACTGTCGGTTTTTTGAATCAAGTATGTACATACACACTGAGGCCATAGTTTTTTGTGCTTTTGCAGGATGATGACGATCCAACAAGACCTCCTACACCTGATGAGCCCAGGGGGTCAGGGACCAAAAGGAAGCGATCCAGGTCTCCGTCATCGTCCACCTAGCGCAAGAAGAGCAAGACTCGTCGCAAGAAGGAGAAGAAGCAGAAGAAAGACAAGAAGAAGAAGGACCGTCGCAGCAAGAAGCATGAGAAGAATTCGTGCTCATCACGATAAGAGCAAGCGGAGTCGTGGACGACGCCATCAAGGTGGAAAGCGTGGCCATCACGGTCACAAGACGCGGCATCGCCGCCGGCTTCCATCGCCATCTTCTTCGTCCTCGAGTTCCTCGGACTACGGCTACAGCTACAGCGGCTGTGACAGCCATGGATCCTGATAGGAACCTCGAACGTCTCGCGCAAAAATGCAGCGTTTGAATGCGGTGCTTTGGAATGATGACACATTGCTTGCTTGTGAGTTCTTCCTTCAGCTTACTTGTTGAGAGTCTTTTGAGAGTTTGTTGAGAGTCTTCTGAGTCGATTGAATTGTCTTATACTCTTTGAGATGTACTGTAACAACATCCCAACGACATCTAAACAACAGTGTCAACGCACTCTCAAGATACTCTCAACAACCCAACAACAACAACGACAACAACCAGAATAAGAACAGCAACAACCAGAAGAACAACACCAACAAACTCAACCTCCCAACCTCAACAAGTCTCCCAAAGGATCCAACATCATGAAGAAACTCAGACCTCAACACTCCCAAACATCACCACAGACTTCCTATTAACACTGGACAATATAGTAGGATTGAAGGTGTACTTGAATAAATGAGTATCAGCGTGATGGTTTTCAGAAAGGTTGAGAGAAGTTGAGAGAGTTTGTTGAGCGAATGACCAGCTTTTGTGAACACATGTGTGACTTGAAATCGTTTGTTGTTGAACTGTGAAGTTGAATTACAAACTTGTGCCCTGCAGCCTGCTGCAAAACAATTGTGCCCTGCAGCCTGCTGCAAAAGAAGATCGTAGATCTGATTCGTAGAACAAGTGTGTTGTAGAACCACTCTCGTAGAAGAGCAGCTACTAAGTCGTCGAACAAACAGAATGGCAACGACATCCCTGATGCTGAGATGACCAATCAAGATCTTTGGTCACAGGAAGCTGTTGTTGCTTCGCCTGCAACTCCTCCCAATGACTCGCAGACTCCTTTGGAGGATGTGAATGACATCAACGTCGAGAACAATGGTGGGCCCTCTGCGCAAGTTTCTGACTCTCAGAATCCTGAAGATGATGAGTCTGAAGAAGAGGGTGAGTTCTATGCCATGACATTGAGGAGTGATGGCACTTTGGTCCGTCATGACAACGGCAACGCTTTCCCCAGCCCGGAGACAATGCTGCTTGCCGAGCGCATCCAGGCCTTGTTGCTTGCTGGCCCTCCAGCCTGCAACTTGAACATCGGTGGACCTCCTTCTTCTTCCTCCCAGCCTGCTGATCCTGCACATCCTGGACCCAAGCGGATGCCCAAGTCGAGAGCATCAAAGAAGAAGGACAAGAAGAAGAAGCAGCAAAGCTGAACCGATCGCAGCTGGCTGTTTGACAGTTGGGCGTCCAACCCTAACTTTTTTTAAAGGGCCGAACCGATCGGAGCCATTCGCGCGTTGATGGAAAACATGTTGAGTGCATGTGAGTTGTTTGAGAGAGTGTTTCACACTTGACTGTTTTCTTTGCGCAGGTCTGCTTGGAGAGTCGTTGATGGATTTGTGAACTATTGAAGCTGTTGAGAGGGTTGAGAGTTACTGTGGTGGAAATATTTGATTGACATGTTGAAATTCATGTTGAATTTCATTGAAACTTTTGTGAATCTTCAACATTATGTTTTTATGAAAGTAGAAGTTTACTAGAAGTTTCCATGAAACTTCTAGTTTGCAAGTAGAAGTTTAAGTAGAAGTAAAGTAGAAGTTTGACTTGTTGAAAATGACAACCCTTACAGTGAATTTGCAATGTTGCTTATAAAACTTCTAGTAAACTTCTAGTAAACTGTTAGTAAACTTCTAGTTGTGGAAACTAGAAGTTTCATGGAAACTTCTAGTAAACTTCTACTTTTGAACATTCATAAGTTAAGAAAATTTATATGTATTTCTATGATTTCTTTACATTATATATATTGCAACTGTTGAGAGCTCTTACCTGTCTGAATAACGTTGTGCACTTGTTGGTTCAGAGAAAGTGAGTTTGTTCCCATATCCGTGAAGCAGTTAGCTGGAAAGTCCAATAGCAGCGCGCATCGACTTTCGGAGTACCGCTCTCACCATGCTGCCTCCCATGAAGCGACCATCATCAAGGAAGAATGAGGCTGATGAGGATGGCGAGCCGGAGACCAAGAAGAGGCCAGCAGCTTCCAGTGGAAGCATGAACAAGGCGATCAATGCGCTGAAGCATGGCCTCAAATCTTCAAGCTCCAAGAAGGACGAGGACGACAACGATGAAGAGTCTGTTGGAGATGATGCGGAGGAATCTCACCTCCGCGACAAAGGAAAGAATTTGAAATTTAACTCGATGAGGAGGAGTTTGCCGGCCCACATCATTCACCTCTACGACACCGAGGCCCTTTCGAAGCCAAGTCCTCGCGAGTTCAGGACGCAGGTGATCAACCAGCTGTTCACGAAGTTGAAGAACGGCAGATACTCGTTGAACGCGGAGAAACCTATGTTTCAAGAGGCCAAGAAGCTCTACGAGCGCAAATACGGCAAGGATTCCGAGACCGGATTGCCGAAGAGTGTGTTGAAAGGGCTCTACTTTCAGAACTCGGAGAGCGCCTTTCAAGAAGCCATTAGCAGTGGCGACGTGTATGTCATGAACTCCGAGGATGGTGTGGAGTTCTTTGGCTTTCGCAAGATCGAAGCTGGGCGCGAGAGGCGTGTTTTGCTGCAGTGCTGGAGAGTCTTGCTGAGAGAGTCATTCAGAGTTTTGGAAAGAGCAGCTGAGAAAGTTTTGATAGAGTTGTCTTTTCTTGAGAGAGTTTTTGAGAGAGTTGCCTTTTTGTTGAGAGCTTTTGAGAGGGTTGCCTTTTTGTTGAGAGAGTGTTTGACAGAGTTGCTTTTTTGTTGAGAGGTGTGGAGACTTGTTGAGAGTCTGTTGAGAGTCTTTTTGACAGTGTTTTTGTGAAGTCCTGGTGGATGTCTTTTTTTGATGCTGTTGATGTTTTGTTGATTGTTGTTATGGAAGTGGCTGTTGTGGCTGCTGTGGCAGGGGCACTACTCGGGAACAGAGTGTCCTCAAGGAGAAGAAGATCACAGCTGATCAGTCCAACTGCTTGGAGGACTTGTTGGAGCAGCTGAATTGGAGCTTCAATTGGAAGAAGACGGACTCGAAGTCCATGGTCGAAGGAGAGAAGCTTCCTGAGTCAGTTCTGAAGCTGCTCACACAGGCCATCACCAGTGAGACCAAGCTGTCGGGCGATGCTTTCAAGCTTCTCAAGAAGATTGGCGACGATGGCGGCGCAGACTACAAGGGTTTGAAGCTCCTGTACACCGAGAGCCAGACGCATTTGTCATCAAGGACTTCAAGGAGTTTCCTGGCGAGAAGGACCCCCCTCTGACCAAGGAAGCCTTCGATTTGCGCATGAAGAAGGCATTGATGTCTATTTTGGATATAAATTTTGGGTGTGGGTCAACAAGTTAACATGTCTATACCTAAGCAAAGTGTTTTGGAACGTTTCATTTTCTGATGACGTGCGCAGGTCGCGGCCCATGCCCAGAAGTTGAACGAGGCCATCGAAAGCACCAAGGGAAAGATGAAGGCTTTGACCAACTAGCTTCCCTCCATCGTAGAAGATCCGGAGAAATTTGGCAGATTAAGTGCGATGTCCGTGATCGCCACTGCCACGGCAAGTCTTGCCAGACTTCTTATGAGACATGGGTCTCGCCTCGCGTTGATGATGGATGAAATATTAGATGACAGCGGTTTTCTGGGCTTGGTGAACTTGCATGGAAGTTCATTGCACGCGCACATTTGCTGACTGAGAGAGAGAGAGAGAGGAAGACGTAGTGGAGAGATGTTTGAGGGATGTGGAGGGATATAGTTGGTATATGTGCGAGAAAGGAGTTGAGGAATGTTTCAACAACATTGCTTGAGATATGCCTGCCGGCAATTGAGTGGCTCTTCTTGGCCAATGTTTTACTACTATTTTGACGGACTACTACCTACTAAAACATGATACTGCAACATGTTGGGTCCAATAAATCTTCAAACGCAGTGCATGGCAAACCAATTTCAATTTGTTTGTTATCGTGGAATACTATGCAACAGCAAGAATGGCCGCACCTCCAAATGCCAAAGGACAAAGAAAGGGAGGTATACGACAACGATTGGCTGCTAGCGCGGTCTGCGAGCAGGAGGAACAGAGTGCTCTATCAACAAGTATGCCAAGCAAACTCGCGCGCTACCTTTTGAAAAAGTTTGCATGGGGTGAATACTCTGCACAGGAAGCCCAAGCCACTGCGCAGGCCAGCTTCAAGGATGTAAGGGCAATCCAAGAAGCCTGCATGGCTGCTCCTCCTACGACTGCAGGCGCATCAGCCTCATCGTCGTCGTGGCTTTTGACACCTCACGCCCACCCCATAGAGCAGGACTTGGAGTCTGTAGCCACCATTGGCGTGTCCGGTCAATACTCAAACAAGTGCTACTCTGACCTAATGAAGAAAGTCGAACCAAACATCAGTTTGCCACAGCCCCATCAGGTTCAGCCGAGGTTTGCTAACCCACTGGGAGAACGCATCCAGGAGATATTGCTTCCGCGCGAGATGTTGGCTGCGATATATGAACACAAGGCTACGTGGGACAAGGTTATTCTACCGGACGAAGGCCTTCCACTCAAGTTCTGGCGCGCTCAAAAGAATGGGAAGCCACTCGAACATTTCGCTGACAGAGAGCTGGGGAAAGTAATTCCGCTCTCCCTCCACGGCGACGAAGTCCCCGTCACCGGTATAGGGAAGCAGTGGAGCAGAAAAATGGTCAACTTTAGCTGGCACTCCCTCCTTTCCACAACAGCTTCTGTGAGAGATTCACAGTTCTTCATATGGGCATTGTTCGACAAAGCTGGCGTCACTGAGGAGGGCGACACGGGGTATCGCACTCTAGACAAATTCTTTGATCTCCTGGCTTGGAGTTTCGAGTTCATGTTCAAGGGGATTCACCCCACTTGCAACGCACAGGGGGAACCGCAACTTGGACGACAAACAATACTTTATGTTTCAACAAGATGGCGCAAACAACTTTTCTCCATACTTCTCAAAAGTTTGATTATGAACCACCTTCGTTGATGTGTGTTTCCCTATTGTGGTTCCTTCACCAAACTCACTGGAAATCTCTCAAATTGGGGTTCCCTCAACATCATTCGACATCTCTCAAAGTTTGGTTCTTCCCTCAACATCATTCGACATCTCTCAAATTTTGGTTCTTCCCTCAACATCACTGGACATCTCTCAAAATAGGGTCCCCTCAACATCACCCGACATCTCCCAAATTTGGGTTCCCTGTTCCCTCAACATCACTCGACATCTCTCAACATTGCTTTCCCCCAACTCCCTGGACACTATTAGGTGGCCGCCTGGGAGCAAGCAGGCGTTTAGATCTGGGCAGCCATTGGCTGCTGGGTACAAAGCTTGCCTTTGGAGCATAATTGGCGATTTAGATTATTTTGTTTCTATTCTGCGCCTTCCAAACTTCAATTCACAGCAACCTTGCTCGCTCTGCCGCTGCTCATTGGCAGGAGCGAACAGTTGGAGCAACTTTACTCCATCAGCGCCTTGGAGGGGCCAGCTGTGGACCTATGCTACTTGGAGCGCTTGGGGCGGCAGAAGCAGATGCCCTCTGTTTGGTAGGCTCAGCCACTGCAGTGCGCTCACCGTGCACTTAGACTACATGCACTGTAAGTTCCTGGGAGTTGACCAGTATGTCTTCGGGTCGGTTTTGGCGCTATTGACCTGTGAGGTTATGCCTGGATCACCGCAGCAAAACCTTGATCTTTTGTGGTCTGAAATCAAACACCTCTACCACCAGCACAATACAAAGGTCAGGTACCGGTACTTGAACAAGTTGACGATGTTCCTTCGGCAAAACGGCACGCCCAAGTTACGCGGCAAGGCCGGCAAAATTTGCCATTTTGCTGATATTATTGTGCATTTGTGGCAAAGACACATGTCTTCAGAGTTGCTTGTGCACAAGCAAATCCATCTACTTCTGAAGCTTAGTGCGCGCATGGAGCAGCTCATCACGGACAACCGTGAGGAAATCGCGTTCCCTGCGCCTGAGGCCAGGAAGTTCGCCAAGGCATGTCAGGAGATGTTGAGCCTCCACGCTGCGTTGGCCAATCACTTTGCCGAAGAAGAGACTGACCTGTTCACCTTGACCAGCAAGTGTCACATGCTGCAGCACATTTCCTTGTTGGCTGGTTGCATCAACCCACGTTTAGTGTGGTGCTTTTCCGGCGAGGACATGCAAAACCGCGTGCAACAACTCGCACAGGCATCTGTCAAGGGCAACAACGCTGCGTCTGCAGTCAACAAGATCGTTCGCCACTACAGATTGGCAATGCAAATTGCTTTCATGGACCACGAAGATGAAATCTAGCTACAGGAAAAGAGTGATTCTTTTGGATTGTTGTGGAGACTTCTTGAGGAGTGTTT